ATATATATATATATATATATATATATATATATATATATATATATATATATATATATATATATATATAAAGCAAGAAAGAGTTCGATAAACTCACAATGTGCGAAGATGTCCCAAGTTCCCAATATTTGGAGATAGCATGCCTGCTAATCCGGTACTAGCCATTTCCCTAAGAAGCATTAGCAGAAAACATAAAAGAAGCAAAGTTAGGCTACACAACACCAAACATGATTTCCTTCCATCCCAAATTTGGAGTCAACTTTCGAATGTTTACGATTCAAATGACTACATTTCAACTTCAAAATCGATTCACGATTCAATCAGTATTATTCAGGATAATAATGTACCAACACATACTATAAATGGAAACCTTTTGTTTTAACAATGTAAAGGAAATCAAATCTTGAATTTGGAAAACAAGCAATTGAACCTTTTTGTTTAGATTGAAATAAAGATTCAAAAATCAAAAAAGGGGAGAAATCTAAATACTAACAGATGGAAACTTTTAGTTTTGGCAATGTAAATGAAATCAAATCTGAATACTAACAGAGAAATTAACACACATACTATAAATGGAAGCTTTTCGTTTTGACAATGTAAAGGAAATCAAATCTTGAATTTGGAAAACAAGCAATTGAATGGATCTTTGATACTAGTTTCTAAAGTTGACTTCAAATTTGGATAAAAGGGTTGGCTTATATTGAAATAAAGATTCAAAAAAAGGGGCAGAAATCCAAATACTAACAGAGAAATTACAAAACCCTCGGAAGAACAAGCAACCATGTTCCATGTACAAGGATCAACAGAATTGATGTCCCATCCATCAAGCACATGGTACTCATCTATCATTTTATTCTTCATAGACATCAATGCTGCCACTGTGAAATAAGACACTTCATATTTTCAATCATTATAACTAAATAAACCAAAAACCCAAATCAGAAAATGGGTTTTTATATACATTTAAACCCTTTCTCTTCACTGCAATGGCTTACCTTCATAGTTGACACCTTTAGGAGAAAGAAGGCTATCAGAAGCACCCACCATTGATACTGAAACCCTAAATACAAAAATCATCACCCAAAAAGTTACCAACTTCATATTGTTACCCCCTGATGATGATGATGATGATGATAACGATTCCAACAAAACCCACAAAAATTTGCCCTAAAAGACAAAGCCCTGTTGGATCTTTTAGTGCGGAAACGAAGTACCCAGAAAGATTTCTTGCAAGAAAACCTTAAAAAATGAGAAGAAATCTGGGTGGTGACGACAAAAATGTGTTTTTTGTTTAATCTTGTAGGAATCCAAGCTTCTCGAGTAACATAAAAATATTAAATTTAAGTTGTTGGTGGTGGGTTTTCATGTTAATTTTGTATGGAAACGAATAAAGAAATGAGGTTAGGAGCGTTGGGTTTGGGGGAATCAATTGAAAATTGGAGGAAGAAGCATTTATTTTATTGAGATTGAAAATGGCAGAGATGAGATGGTTCCCTTTGCCCTCTGTCAACTGACAATTCACCGATTGGTTGATTATTATGACTGCACTGTGAGCTCACACTTTGAACATTGATATTGTTATGTTATTTTGATGGTTGTTTGAGATTGCTTATAAAAATAATTTATTAATTGTTTTTATGTGGTATTAATAATAAGTATTTTTGAATATTTGAATAAATAATTTATATCGGTAATAAAAAGTTTTTGAAGAAGTTAAACTCTTTTGACTTATAATAAATTGATAAGTGTTTTTGTATAAAAACATAAATTGTTTCAAATAAACATAAATTGTTTCAAAATAAAATGCATAATTAAAATCTAAATTTTAAAAGTTATTTTTAATCCGTTTTAAAAATGAGAATTATGATTTAAAAATTATAATATAAATTATATTATTAAAATATTTAATATAATTTATAAAATATTATTTCTTTTTAATAAACATATAGTTTTAAAGATTCTTGTCGATAGAAAAATAAAGAATCATTTATTTTCAGTGACGAATCTAGGATTTTGGCCGAGCAGGTGCACATTTAAATTGAATCAAATGCCGAAGAAAGCTATTGCATGTTTTTTTAGTCCAGTTCCACAAATGGTTCATGCAAATTTGCATCTGATTTGAGGATCGGTTGTCTGTATTCAGTATGCTCATTTTTCAGGCAAAAAGATGAAATTTTATTGAATAAGATCTCAAAAGATCTGCTTACGGTACATTTTAATTAGACGATGGCAATATGTCTTCCGAAATACATTTGAACTGCAAGCCTTAATAACTTGATGAACCATCCTAAAAACAATTCACGATTATGATTGACCGACAAAATGAAACCTAATCTGAGCAGGAACATACTGATACTGACTAACAAACTGGAACCTGGAACATAAACAAAATGAAACCCTTGACTTTAGGACAGCTATGCTTTAAATTCCATAACCTGCCATATTTGAAACAAGAAGCATGAGTGTCAACTAGGAGACTAACTTGATGCACATCATCCATGCGTTCCATATCCGATGTTTCTATGCTAGGAAAAGGACTGAAGGAACTTACAAAAAGTGTCCACCCCTTAGGTTGCGAAACCACGACTTTATTGGGCATTCCCGTGATGAAGTTATGATGATCCCATCTTAAACCTCTCTTTTTGCCTACGCTGATTTCGCTTCGAGTTTTCCTTTGGTGCTTGTTATGGTGACCCCTTAACTAATGAGACTTCTCCTAAAGGGCCTCCTTTTAGCCCTCCTTTTCTAATATAATAAAAGTGACAACAGGATGCTCATATGGCCTTGCATCATGGACATATTTCTTCTCAAGCTCTATATGGCCTTAACATTAAAATTTATGCCTAAAACGAGACACTAGATAAATCTAAGAAGAACACGAGAGGAGCACAAACGCTTCGTAATTTACTAGTGATGATACAAACGAGGGAGTCCTTTGTTTAAAGGAAGCTCAATCCCTCCCAATAAGACTCTAGATCAAGAAACTTATAGGTTCTGCTACATTGCTCTCTAAGTCTACATGACCCAAGTCATACCGATGTCTAATGTGCCAAGTGCCAACATCGAATCATGTGGCTCCTCAAGTGGCTGTACATGAAGTCTGCTAGTTCGGTAAGCCAATGCCAATAGGTAGGGAAGCAAACAAGCTGGTGGTGACAACAGAGAAAAAACCAGAGTTGGCAACAAGATTACTGAATTTGCAATTAGGGCCAGAAGGGATGATCAGATAATGGGTAATAAAAAAATAGTAATGTTTATAACAACACAAACATGGGGATGAGCTGCCTAACTTGACTAGGTTCCAAACCCCTTAAAAATTTGTGTCTTCTTAAGTTCTTGGTTCATTGGATTAAAAACATTTATTTGGCTCTCTACCCAGCACATCCAAATCCATTGGACCGACCCTGGTGTACAAATCCTCTCAATCCTTAATAGTTCGCGCATTTTCTCTTTCCTAAGTAATAATTTTTGAAGAGTTTTTTAAATTTAAATAATTCCATAAATAATTAAAAAAAATATGTTCGAATAAAAATCTTCATTTTGAATAACTAGAAGCGTACTCGCGCAATGCAGCGAGATACATCGTGATTTTAATATTTCATTTTATTATTTATCCCAGTCGATGTTATAATATGGCTTTATGTGATTTTGAGAAAACGATGATGTTTTTATTTTTGAATAAAATATATGTTTGAAGATATCATAAAAAATTGACAAAAATATATCGATATTAGTGTCAAATTAACTATTTGAAATTCCTCATTTTTTTGTGTATTTTTTTAATTCAATTTTTTTATAATTTAATTTATGTACAATAACGAAGTAATTTATATTTGGTTTAATAATATAATTTTTTTATAAAAATAATTATTATTTATTTTGTTGGAACTCGATAATTATTCTGATTATATTTTAGATTTTTTATATGTTAAAATGAGATGTTCATCCTCTATTTGATTATGTTTATCCGCAGTTATTTATACGAATTCAAACATCGAGCTTTAATAAGTTGTACTTATGCATAATTACTTGTGCATTTAATACTCTAACAAATTTTTTGAATATTTTTTTATAAAATAATAAATTAAGTTTTGTTATAACCAGGGGTTGTTTTTGATTAAGTAATGAAAGATGAGGGCTTTGTTTTAAAAAATGGGTTTAAAAAACTTTTGTTACTGGTTTGAAGAAACAGAAGAGAAAGAGGAAGAAACTGCTTACATGATTTTTATCTGGTTATTTGTTGTTATTTAAATTCTTCCATCTCTATTATGATCAAGGTGAGCTTTTATATTTAAAGCATTATTTAATTTGCTTTAATAAGGAACCGTAGTTAAAATGATTATATGTTATTTTTAGCATGATTTTGGGTTTGATATGTTAATATCAACTAATTGAAATGAGAGTGACATAATCAAGGGAGGTGTATATTTTGTAGTAAGGGTGACACAATCAGGAGTTGGGTAAATTTGAAATAAGGGTGACATAGTTAAAAGTTGGATAATTTTGTAATAAGGACGGCATAATCATGAGTTGGGTATATTGAGATAAGGGTGACATAATCAATTTATAGAAATGATGAATTTTTGTGATCATGGGTTATTGTTATCATATATTTATGATACGATGGAATTGATTTTATCGCTTATGTTTAATGCGATGAAATTGGGATTTGATTTGAAGTGTTATTTTTATCGCATCGTTGAGGTGTGACAAGTGGGGGTTATCACATTCTTATTATGCGACAAGTTTGGGTTGTTGCATCTGATGATGCGAGAAATTATGTTATCGTATATATGGGATGCGACAAGTTGGTGTATTATATGTTTGATGCGACAAATTTGGTATATCTTGTGTTGATGCGATAAAAGATGTTAATACGTTGTTTATTTCAATGAAATGGAGTTGTCTCATATATATAATGCAACAAAAGACTAAAGAGGTTTGATTTGTAAATGTTATTTACATGTTATCTTTTCAAAGGACTATCTTTCCAAAAGTGTTTTGGTGATTTTCACCCTGTAATTGCAATAAAATGGACTACTCACTAAACCTTATGGTCTCTTGTTTTGTTTTAAAAAAATGTGCATTACAGGTCGGACACATGTGGAAGGTAAAAGGAAGGGAAAGATGTGAAGAAAATTATTAATGTTTTACATCTATGGATTTCTGGGAAGCTGAATATGTGCATGTACTTGATAATTTGTTATATATACAAGTCATATATTTGATGTGAACAAAAAATTTGTAGCTACTTTTGTATGTAGCAATATGTGTACATCTGGGACCAATGTTTATTTTGTATTTCATGTTATATGAAATATGTGAATTTTCATGAAATAAGAGTTGGGGTGTTACAAGTTTTATTTCACATTCTCCCAAAAAATACCACAATTAATACATTTTATCTCGCATCCACAATTAATAAAAAAATCAACATATTTATAATAAAATATATCATTAGAAAGTTTTGATCAAGAGTCAAGACGATTAAAATGACATAAAAATATAAAATCTATTAATTCCTAAATTTTATTTTATACTTTTTATATATTAACGTTTTTATTATTAATATTTAATAAATTACATAAATTAACCCAATATAGAAAAGAAAAATTAATTAAAATAGTCTTTTTAACCGAGTGATTTTACCTCCTAGTTATTTCTCTCCAAGGTTTACAAAAATAACCTTAGGTCTATATAAAAAAAAAATTACACTTTCTACATTTGTCCGCAAAAAAAATACATTTTTCACCCAGGTCTGCAAAAACAATATAAAATTGCAGACCTATGGCTATTTTGGTAAACCTTGTAAAGAAATGAAACCAACCTGTCAAAATGACTATTTTAATTGATTTTCTCTATAGAAAAATATACAAGAATATTTTGAGGACAGTAAGATGAAAGTTTAAAGAAGATAAAATATAATAAGTAAAATTTAAATAATGAATAAAATAGATATAGACATTTAATATTTTAAAAGAAAATTAAGTTTTATCTTGAAAGGATTTTGATAAAATATAGGTTTGTTCTACCCTATTGACATAAAAGTGATGTCAAACATGAAAGATGAATATTCTGTTTTGTCTATTTCAATATATCAAACATACATTTAAAACAAATTTTAGAGAATAATATTAAAATTTTTATTATTTAATTCAATTGTTCTAAATCTAAAACAATATTAATTTTTTATTATTATTTAATTCAATTGTTCTAAAACCTTAGTGAAACCTATTTTGTATTTGAATAAAGTCACTCCACCACATTACCAACTCGGCTGAGTGCCAGAGACATATTAGGTTCATTTAGACGCTTACCTGGTAAGTATTTACCGGGTAATTTTCCTCACCGGATGAACATGACAAGAGCCAAGAATCTTACCCGGTAAGAACGATGATAAGGATAGAGGCTCTTACCCGGTAAGTGACGGTGCCGACTCTTACCCGGGTAAGCGCGTATCAGGTAAATTCTTGTACATGATACGTTTTGATGTACTACAATCTTACCCAATAAAATAAATTATAGTGTTGACTCCTAACGTTAAGCACTTACCGGGTAAGCATTTAAGTAAACGTCCCCTAACTTACGTGGCAATACCTGCAAGTAGTATTTGTTTACGTTTTACGACCAAATAGGTCTATGCAAGACCGTATTATGTGAAGTATCATCTTTTGCTCATTGAACCCTCCGTAGAGGGTTCAGTGCGTCGGTAGTGTAACTGTAATGATAAAATTACAGTTACAAATCTAGACGACAAGTTAAATAACGCACGACGACTTCCGAATGCATTTACATAACAAGTTAAACATAACATCTACGGAATCAGAAAACTGAAAATACGAGCATGACTACAAAACAAGTGCAAGAAACCGCCAAAACTTTTCCGGTATTTCTAGCTAGTGAGTAAAACTCGGATTCTTCGGGGAACAAAGTTTTTCCATCCTAACGGGAAAAAAAGATATACAAAACCGGCTTCGTTTCTTTGCTCTTGTTAGCCTGCTAAACACATTCCGCAGGTAACAAACCGACTTAATCTTTACTTACCATTATGAAAAAAGGCGTAATGCAGCTTCACGCACACGCCCATCTTCACAAAATCCCGATTCAGCTTTTTTCCTAATATGTATACTATCTCTATATCCCAGCAGGCTGCGGAAATTGTGGATTCATTTGCTTCTTCACATGATCGGGAATTAACCGGTTGATGAGCTCGGGAGATGCTCCGGACAACTGATCCATAAGAATGTAATTTAGTAAACCGTCATGAACAATTGGCAAATTGAATGAAAATGCAACGTACTCTGGTATGATTCCTATTCTGTAACGTACTTAAAAAAACCTTTATTTTGGTACCTAAGATGTGACATCTCAAACGTTTAGGTACCTGGTGGCGGGTTTACACATGAGAATTGCATGAAAATGCAACGTACTTTCATCCGATTCCTATTTAATATAACGTATTGTGGTTTAAAATATTTGAGGTATCACATGAGGTACCAAAACAAAATAGAATCAGGTCAAAGTACGTCACATTTTCATGCAATCTACACTCGTCAAAAAGTAATCATACTACCAAAAGAAACTACGAGATCGTTGTATCTGAACACGTACCTCTTGTTTGAAGTTGAAGAGAGGAGGTAATGGTTGACCATTTGGTAAATGTGTGTTAGGTTGTCGGATCTCATCAAAGAAAGGATGTGCTATGGCTTCAAGCTACACGTAAGAATCGTAGTAAAAAGATAAGAATAAGCGCACGCTCTCTCTCTCTCTCTCTCACACACACACACATATAATATAACCAAACGAACTCAGTATATCCCACTTGAAAAAGCAGGATGTGGGGGTTGGGATGTACACATACGTGTCCTTTGTCCCAAAGAGTAGAGCAGTTGTTTCCGTGACACTGCATATAATATAACCAAACGAACCCAGTATTTCGAATGCAGGGTCCGGGGTACGGATGTAGGCAGATATGTCATCCACCCCAAAGGTGTAAATGAAACTTACGGCACTGCAGCGAAGACTTGGGGAGTATTGTAGGAGCCGAGAAGCAAGATCAATAGCTTCGGGAGGCATCCGCTTATGAAAAACCTGAAACAAACAGTGAATCGGCATTATTCAAACAAAGATTAACGGCCACGATTTTTTCTCACATTTCGAGTTGAAAAAAGAAATCCTCAACCAACTAGACTATGCCATTCTACCCTCTATAGGTCCGGTCCTGTCACAAAAACTTGTTTCCCTACGTTTGGTGCTACAAGATTGTTAAATTACTAAACTACCCATGTCAGATTAAAACTCTAAAACCTTCTAGTATTCATTCACCCGTCTACCTCACCCTCGCCCGTCTAGTCCTGTTCGGTCCACAGACCGAACGCACCCGGAAGTACGGGAGTAATCAAGAGTAAAAAAAAAAAGAAACATACCTTATGCCAAGGGTGAGCCTTTATTTGAGGAAACCTGAAATCGGTGTAGTTCGGATTCATACAACGAATTTCTTCTCGAGTTGGCGTGCCCAAAACCTGATAAACTCACCGTAAGAAACTGTAAAAATAATAAAAACGGTGGCCCTCATTTTACATTGAAAATAGAAAAAGAAAAAAATGCACCTTAATTATCTCCACAAGCTGATCCACTGCATTTTCTCCGGGAAATAGCGGCTACAAAACACACGAGACCAAAAATTAATGTCGAGATGTACAACAAAGACTTTCACAATGTTACGAGAACGGTTTTGAGTTGCAAACCTGCCCCAAAAGAAGTTCGGCAAGAATGCAACCAGCAGACCAAATATCAATTGAAGTCGTATATTCTGTAGCACCAAAAATGAGTTCCGGAGCACGATAGAAACGTGAGCAAATGTACGATATATTTGCTTCTCCCGTCATCTGAAAACCGTCAAATATATGGTTAATTATGAAACATGATGGGAAAACTGCAAGAAAATACTTCCGTTGTACACAAGAAAACAACCGTCAAATATATAGTTAACTCCCGTGGCACGCCATGGCCTGATGCGTGTTTCTTGGAACGTTTTATTTGATTCTTTTATAAAAATTTAATCTTTTTCTACCTATTTTTTTTACGGGTATGTGTGTGTACAGATTTACCGCCACAAGTCACACCTTGAGAAACATTGTGGCTCCTAAGAAAATCTCGAACCTTGCCTTGAAATAACCACAAGAAAAATCTAGCGAGAAACAAAACGAGTGAAAAATGAGGGAATTTCAAGAAGTAACATACTAGAATCTTCGCACTTCCGAAATCACAAATCTTGACTTGTTGAGTAACAGTGTCCACCTGCGAAAAAAGTAAATAAAGTAAGCCCAAAAAGATTCGTAAAAGAATACCGAAAAAGATATGCAAAATGAAATGAATACGAACCAGAACGTTCTGCGGTTTCAAGTCCCTGTGGCATACTCCGGCAACCGAATGCATGTAAGCCAACCCCCTAAATATCTGAAGTGTTCGTTCGCTGGTTAATAACTTAATTCCTGTAAAAGAAACCGAATAAAAAGAACACAAAAACGGGCCGTTGCAATGAAAAAACAAACTCACTTGATATGTGTAAAGTTTCACATAAATAAGAGGCATAGTCTGCCGCATATCACTATAATGCTTTGAAACCCGGAAAATGGTCCCGGGGACGTACTCCATCACTAGGTTCAGAAAAACCTCATCTCGGCTTGTGGTTGAAAAGAAACAATGCTTTAACGAAACCACGTTTGGATGGTCCATCATGCGCATTAATTGCAACTCACGATTCTTGTATCTTCGGTCTTGCAAAACTTTCTTTATAGCAACGGTTTCGCCGGTTTCTATGCATTTTGCCTAAAAAAAGAAAAAGATGGGAACAATTATGATGTAGAACTCAAATTCATACGGTGTTAAGAGGAGGGAAATTAATTGTATACCTGAAAAACAGTTCCAAATGATCCATTCCCAACGATGCGTTCCGCCATATAACTAACAGTCTGCAGGAAGACGCATAGCACAACTAAATGATATGTGGAAAGTTGACTAAAATTGCACGAACCCAATATATATATATATATATATATATATATATATATATATATATATATATATATTTATATGGTTAATCACTTGAAAACCACAAAAAGGTTACAAACTCGTGAGGACCATTCTCAATCTATTGCAAAATGTGAAACTTCTTTACGGTTTTGTTTCACAATGTGAAACAACACATGATCTATTGGTTCTCAACCTAAAATTATGTCCCTATATATATATATCGCTGAACACGCATAAAAAGCATGGTGTAGGAAGGGACCATAGTTCCGAATTCATGAATCGAATCATGAATTAATGATAGTGATACCAACTTCACAGAATCTTGAATGACAATGCGTTACACCAAATTCATGAATCTTGTTGTATTAGCCGTTCGGTACGACTTAGCAAGTACCAAGAAAGAAAGTATTTCCGACTTTATGAGACTATTAGTAAGTTTCAGATTGATATCACTCTAAATACAAATCCATGTAAACAAAGTCGATAACGTAATAAATCTTGGATAATTTTAATGCAGTCGTACAATACGATCCTATTTGGGAAACTTTCTACTTACTTTGCACACTTCTCTCGATCCTACTTGCATACATCCTACCCCCATACCAACCTCTGGGTGGGATATACCGAGCTCATTTGGTTTGATTTACAATCTTTACCCAGAAAAACAATCAACAAGAAACTTCATAGTAATCCCGACATACCTTCTTTGGTTCTCCATTCTTGCCTGCGATTGTTGTGGATATGATGTGACCAGCTTCCGCTTCTTTCCCGTCAACAACAGGGGCAGACATTTCCTGCACCATTCATCAAGTAATCTTGTCAAACGAGTACTTTCTTATGTCGATTATGCACAACAAATGCCAAAAAGAACCTTTTTTTGTTACTTTATTAGCAATCAAGATTTGTTCTTTCTTCAAAGAGTTTATACCGTTGTTGTTGCTCCAACTTCTGTTTCTATTGTGGCTAAAACCGATGCTGAAGCATATTTATCCAATGGATCTTTATTTCAACATATATATATACAGGGAAAAACATTCGAAATTGGGTCCCGAATAGGTACCATATCAACTCAAGAAATCACAAAAAAATCAGACCTGAAGACTGCAATTGGCGCTCATCCTCTAAAGCATTTAAAGTTCATAAATACATCAAAATCATACAAAATAACACTGATCTTGCAATAATCAAGCATAAAATCAGATAGAAATTCTGTATTCTAGACCTTTGAAACCCTAATTGGACCTAGAACCCTAATTGGATAGAAACTGGTGTTCATCCTACAGCATTCAAAGTTCACAGATGCATCAAAATCAAACAACATAACACTGATCTAGCAATAATCAAGCATAAAATCGGATAGAAATTTCAATATTACAGACCTTTGAAACCCTAAATGGACCAAGAACACACAGCAAGTTACCTTCAGCAAACAACAAAAACACACAGAAGCAAGATTACGAATCTTGCCCTAAAATCAACACAATCAACTCAAAAAGATTGAAACCCTAATCGCAATTCAACTTCAAACATTAAACCCTAATCCCAATTCTTCCTGATGCAGAAGCAGAATCAGGGTTTTCTTTCTTGATTTCTCTTTGTGTGTTTCCCAAATTTATAGAAAAAGTAGAACAGAAGGAAAACGATACCTGATGACCGGACATTCGGTGCTCCGGTCCGGCGAGCGTGACGGCAAAAAAGGAAAAATTGTATTTGGGGAGTTAAAGAAAAGAAAAAGAATCCCTTTTTGATTAAATTGTGAGCTGATAAAGAGACCCCATCAACCAAACAACTACATGTGATTACAGCTCCTCTTTCTTTTGGTATGTTCTGAGGTGTGATGAGAGAGAAAGTCTATTGCTAATGCTTCATCCCCCACAAAGAAAGCTTCTTTTTATACCCTTTTTTATATATACTTTCAAGAAAATGTGAATTACACTTCTAGAAAAATGTGAATTATATGCTTTCTGAAAAATGTGAACTTTGTTTTTGAATTCATATTCTTAATTATAAAATAATGGGATTTTAATAATCTATATATATATTAAAGAAGAAACCACATGTAATGATGTGGCATCTTCTCAAAACAAGAAAATGTTTTATCTTTTTTCTCCTTTTTTCAAGCTTTTCCTACCTTAAAATTTGTTTTTGATTTTTAATATTCACATTTAAGATCTTTTAATTAGGTTGTTTCAACCTATTCATGTTCCCTCTAATAATTACTCTTTTAACTCTCATTATTTCTCTCTATTTGGTTACAAATTTTCATTTTCTCTTCAAGGTAAACCTCTATAATAATCTCTCAATTCTTCCTCTATATTCATGTATAATTTTGTGGTACACTTCTATGATAATCTCTCTATTAATCTCTCGATTTTTTCTCTCTATTCAGTTATAAATTTGTGGATGTTATTTGCATTTTTATTTATTTGAGGTGTCATTCAATAAGACAAATCATGATATGAGTTTTTGTATCATGATTTTTTGTTCATGTAAGTATAATATTTTCTTTTTTTAGTCGGAGACATTTACATTATAGTTGAAATTATGTAGGCATATGAATTTCTTTTTATGTAGATAAAGTGACATATGAATCATTGAAGAAACAATTTAACATTGTTTAAGCATAATATCTCTCTTAACATCTCAAATCTTCCCATCTATTCAGTTTTTTTGGAGGTCATTTGCATTTTTGTTTATTTGGGTTTATATATTAAAGAAGAAACCATGAGTTGTTGAGGTGGCTTCTTCTAGAGCTTAGAACTTTATTTCTTTTTTTTCTTCTTCATTCTTTTAATATTCACTACTATATTTTTTTTTTGTCAATTTATGTTTTTTTCTTAAATGTTTGCATTCAATTTCAAACCATTCATCTTCTTCTATATTAATTCAAATTACATAACTCCAAATCATTCATCTTTTTCAATCAATTATTTATTTATATATATAAAAACAACAACTTTTTGTTCATCTTCATCTCTCACATCCTCTCAAATTCTATCTCTATCTTATACATCTCTAAATTATTTTCTTCATTTTTGGTTTTGTTCTATTTTACTATTGATAATCTTCATAGTTTTTTTGTTATTTCTCTTCTCCTATAATTTTATGAATGTTTGTATCGTTATTTAGATTGCATTATAGTTTTTATGCATTATGTCATGAAGATTTGAAAAAGTCTTCAAGKTCAATATTTGATTTTTTGGTTGCAATACAAGGTAATAATTTTATATTAATTTGTTTCATAATTTTGATTGCATTATAATTTTATTTATGTTTGTATCGTGATTTTGTTTGTATTATAACTCTTATGTATTAGGTGAAGACGTGATTTTGTTTGTATTATAACTCTTATGTATTAGGTGAAGATTTGAAGTGTTCAAGTTTACTATGTAATTTTTACTTATGTTGAACCTTTTTTTGATTTGCAGATTTTCGAGTTCTTCAACTTTTATATATTAAGTCTTAAAAWTTTGAAGTTTTCAAGTTTGGGTTGTGGGAGTTTATAATTATGATCTAAGGTAAGGATTTTATGCAAGTTTATTTTGTAATTTAGAGTGTATTAGAATGTTATGTATGTTTGTATCATGATTTTGATTGGATTATATTTTTAAGTATGTTCTTATCGTAAGTTTAGTCGTGTGATAATTTTATGTATGTTCGTGTTGTGATTTTGATTGCATTATAATTTTATTTATTGGGTTATAAATATTTTAAGTCTTAAAGTTTGGTATGTGATTTTGTACATATCGTATGCTTGGTCCATTCACTATTGTGTTTTTAAAGTCAGGGTGTGTGTTGAGGATGAAAAATTGTACATGTACATCATCCTTTTTTGTGCTTATACATCGTAAGCATCATTACACAAAACTAAATTTTCTGTTATCAAAACTAAGACAATAATAATTTATCTGTCTATAATGAATCCAATTTAAATTTCAGTTCTTCGGTTTTTGGCCAACCATGATTAGCTATTGTTTACAACAATCGGTAAGCTTATAATATAACGAATGTTATTGCTTATATACCTTGCATTGTATGATTCCTCAATATTAGAGGATATTATATTTCATTCAACAATTATAAAATACTCTTATTTTATTTCCTGTTATTTAACTGTATTATAAATTTAGTTATTTCATTTCTTATATTGTGATTACATATCTAATTATTCGGATGACTATATGTACATGAATTTATTTAAAAAAAATCTGGGAAATAAGTGTTACAATCTAAATTGAAAAGATTACTTTTGCATACA